CACCCCCTCACCTCCGATAGCCCAATAGCCCAATAGCTCCGTAGCCCCATAGCCCCATAGCCCTATAGCCCTATAGCCCTATGGTCCTAAAACCTTATAGCCGTAGCCCTGTAGCCCTATAGCCCCATGGCCCTAAAGGTTTCCAACCCTATATCCCTATGGCCACATCGCCCTATAGCCCCATACCCCCAAAGCCCTAAAGCCCCATAGCCCCCCCCAAATTCTGATTGGGTTTTTCTTTGGTATAGTGTGCATCGAAGGTTGGGGGGGGTGAGATCGCAGTGAAACGGAAACATCCCGCACCGGGATATCGGTTTCGGATTCACGTTCACGTCGCGCGCGCGGGCGAGGCGACGTTGCGTGGGCGGGCGAGAGGAATGAACCCGCCGCTGCAAGGTCGAAACCGAACCAAACGTTGCTGTCCCCTGGGTTGGCCAGCAGTGGCCATGTGGTGTCCCGATGGAGTCCCGTTGGCGCCTCGATGGTGTCCCGATGGTGTCCCGCGGCGTCTCGCGGCGTCTTGTGGTGCCCCGTGGCGCGGAGATGTCCCGCGCTATGATATATGCTATTTTATGGTATGTTAGCGGTCGTGAGATCGATCGTGTGATCGATAGTGATATCCACTGAGTGAGATCGAGAGTGAGATTGATCGTGAGATCGATAGCGAAATTGATCGTGAGATTGGTACCGAGGTCGATTGAGTGAGATCGACAGCGAGGTCGATCGTGAGATCGATAGCAAGGTCGATAGGGATATCGACAGACAGTGAGATCAATAGCGAGGTCGATCGAGTGGGCTCGACAGGGAAATCGATCGTGACGTCGATCGTGTGTTCCATAGTGAGATCGCTCGTAAAATCTATTGAGCGATATCGATCGTGAGATCGATAGTCAGATCGACAGAGAGATCGATAGGGAGAGCAATACGGATATCGATAGTGATATCGATTGGGTGACATTGATCGTGGGACCGATAATGAGATCGGCGATGACATCGATAGTGGTATCGATAGTGATAGCGATCGTGAGGTCGATCGTGAGATCGTTCGTGAGATCGGTCGTGAGATCGATGGTGAGATCGATCGTGCTATTTATACTGTGATCGGGAGTGGGACCGATATTAACTCGATAGCGATATCGAGGGTAAGATCGGTACTGAGATCGATAGAGCAGTCGATTCAACGAGATGGATGGTGAGATCGATAGTGAGAGCGACCAGGAACCTGATAACCCAGAAACGGAAAATTGTAACCCAGGGAACCCCGCCGCACGCCGAAATCGGCGCGGAACCAGCAACCGCGTTCCCGGGAACTTGGAACCGGGAGCCCGGGAACCCGGGAACCCGGCCGCATGCCGAAATCGGCAAAGAATTTTCGCCAAAAATTTCTCCACCACGCCAGAGAAAAACACTAATCAGTGGATGGTTCGAATAGTCATGATGTGGATCTTGAAATCGATTCTGAAAACGACAATAATATCGATAGTGGATCGATAATGAAGACGATGGTAAGGTCGATCGTGAGACCGATAGTGAAGTCGATTCAGTGAGATCGATAGTAAGATCAATCGTGATATCGCTCGTGTGATCTATGGTGAGATCGATTGTGAGATCCATTGTGAGATCGATAGAGAGGTGGGTAATGAGATCGATGGTGGGACCGATCCATCAGGAGATCGACTAGGAACCCGGGAACCCGGGAACCGGGGAACCCCGCCGCCCACCGAAATCGGTCTGGAACCAGCAACCGCGAACCCGGGAACCTGGAACGAGGAAACCCATTGAAATCGGCCGCACACTTTCGCCAAATCTTCCAACATCCGCTAGGACCCCTTCAGTGCAAGCACCGATTGGGGAACGTTCGCCAGGACCCCTTCAGTGCAAGCACCGATTGGGGAATCGATGTCTGCGTGTGGTTATCTACCAAGCGGAAGTCGGCCGCCTTCACAGGCGAGCCGGGGCCATCGGCTGACTGGGGCGCATCCCTGGCCCAGATGCCTTTCCGACCCTGTGTGCTCACCCTGCGGCGCCCTGGCGGCGTTCCACGCGAGTCGCCGGTCGCAGTCGCGGGTCGGCCTCCTGGTGCCGCCCGCGGGCCCCGAGGTTGCGAGAAAACGACGGTGGGGTTTGGATTATGTTTGCGCTGTTGCTGTTGTCGTTGTTTCTGTTGTTGTTGTTGTGGTTGCTGTTGTTGTTGTTGTTGTAATTATTGTTGTTGTTGTTGTTGCTGTTGCTGTTGCTGTTGTTGTTGTTGCAGTTGCTGTTGTTGTTGCTGTTGTTGTTGTTGTTGTTGTTGCTGGTGTTGCTGTTGCTGTTGCTGTTGTTGTTGTTGTTGTTGTGGTTGTTGTTGTTGTTGTTGCTGTTGTTGGTGTTGTTGTTGTTGTCGTTGTTTATGTTGTTGTTGTTGCTGTTGCTGTTGTTGTTGTTGTTGCTGTTGTTGTTGTTGTTGCTGTTGTTGTTGTTGTTGCTGTTGTTGTTGTTGTTGTTGTTGTTGAATTCTCATCCTTTCTGAAGAAAAATTATTGTTGATCTCCCCCCCCACCGGTGCATATCGTTTTTCTCAATCAAAGTGTGCCCCTGCACCCTGTTTTTTTGACAGGGAAACTCTTCCTGCTCAAACTGGTCCCTTGGCCCGCGGGTTACAACAACAACGGCTCCCGCCTGAGACCTCCTTACAATTTAGCCAGGACCCCCGCTCCCGCCCGAGACTGCCTCGCATGTTATTCAGGAATCGCGCTCTCGCTTCGGATTTCCTTAAATTCTATTTAGGAATCGCTCTCCTGGCGCTCTGGAGTCGCGCTCTCGCTGGAGGTTTGCTTGCAACTTACTGATTTCGAAGAATGGCCTTGCGTTGGAATTTCTTGCAATTTGCCCAAGCGCCGCGCTCCCGACACCCAGGCACCCAGGAGTCGCGCCCGTTGTGGCCCCATGTGCATGCCCTTCGTGGCCCCGCTGTCGCCATTTGTGTCCCCCTCATTGTCCTACGTGGCCCAGTTGCTACCCTCAGTGGCCCCATAGTTGCCTTCTGTGGCCCCGCATTATATGCACTTCGTGGCCCCCGCTCGTTCGCGCTCTTCGTGGCCCCATACGCATTCCCTTCGTGTCCCCGCTGTCGCCCTTCGTGACCTACTTCGTGCCCTTCGGGGCCCTGCTGTCGTTCTCTCTCGCTCTCGCTTTCGCTCGTCGTCGCCGTCGTTGTCGTCGTCGCCGTCGTCTTCGACGTCGTCGTCGTCGTCGTCGTCGTCGTCGTGGTCGGTCCCCTGTCCGTCCCTGTTGGGGTCGGGTCGACGGTCCGCGGCCGCCCCGCCGATCAGCGCTGCCGGTGGCCAGGCCGACGATCCGCGGCCGCCCCGCCGCTTGCGGGGGCCCGGCCTGCAGGGAAGAAAGGTATACCCCCCAAAAGGGGTTCGATCGAAGACGAAGAGGGCGGGTATCGAGGGTTTGGGAATGACGCATTATTGGACACTCGAGCACATAAAGGCGAACAGTCTTAAAATTATTGTTGTTGTTGTTGGTTGTTGTTGTTGTTGTCGTTGTTGGTTGTTGTTGCTGTTGTTGTTGTCGTTGGTTGTTGTTGTTGTTGCTGTTGCTGTTGCTGTTGTTGCTGTTGTTGTTGTTGCTGTTGTTGTTGTTGTTGTTGTTGTTGTTTTCAAGATCGACGTTCTTTTTCCCGTTGGGGGGTTCGGACTCTCCGTTTGCGGTTCGGCTTCGTTTTTTGACTGCTGAGTTTTACGCGTTGGACTGCAGCTGTTGCTGTTTTTGTCATTTTGTTCTGGTTGGTCGAACACCACATAGTTGAAAACGGCAAAGAACGCGTTTTCAACATCAACTAAGCCCACGGATATCGAATCAACTGGCCAATCCGCTGGATGTCCAGGTTCGGCCTTCCCCCTTCCTTTCGCTTGCCTTGCGCTGTCGCGGAGCAGCCCGTGGAGTCTGTTCTCCCCCTCCTTTCCCCCCTCTCCCTCGAAGAATGCAAGTGGCCGGAGGAGGAAGAGGAGGAGGAGGAGGAGGAGGAAGAGGAGAAGATGAGGAGGAGGGGGAGGGAGTAGTACAATGAGGAAGGGAGGAGGAGAGGAGCAGGAGCAGGAGGAGGAGGAGGAGGAGGAGGAGGATGCACATGCACTTCTGGATGTCCGCGCGGATTGCTTCGATCGGCGCTGGACCCCCGCGGCGGCGCCTCTGGCGCCGCTTTTCTGCGCTTCTCCGCGCGCCGGGGAGGGGCGTCCAGCGCCCATCCAATAGATCCACGCTGGTTTTCGAGTGCTTGATTTAAGTCGGGCGTGGCCCCCTACAGGGGGATTTTGGGCGAAAATTGAATATGTTCAAAAAGTATCCCAAAATGTTCAACAAATATTCAAAAAATAGTCCCCAGACTATGTTTGGATTATTTTTGGCCCATTTTGGGAGTATTTTTTCAAATTTTCGTTAAAACTCCCCCTGTAGGGGGACACGCCCGACTTAATGCTTGATGCCTCTTGATTCCTCTTCTTTGAGGCGTTCCAGGAGGGGCCCTGCCTTCGAGGATCGAAGGAGTTGTCATCTCTTCCGCCGCGGAAGGCGGCGGAGGGTCGGCGGGAGCAAAAGGAGGCTGCCCCCGCCGGCGGAAGCAGGCGGAAGGGCGGCGGAAGATGGCGGAAGTAAAAAACGCGGCCCCCAAGAGATTAACAAGTTTTTAGGGTCAGGGTTTCTGGAATCGGCCATTTGTTACCGTGCTGTTCCTTTGATCCCACATTCTGATTCGTTATGTGTTCTTCTTCTGCCCTCCAGGGCACGGCCTAAACAGTGTTGTTTTTTGGCGATCTCGCGGGCCGTTTTCGTTTCGATGTCGTTTTGCAGCAAAGGCGGGGCGAAGACAGAGCCCGGAGTCCGGGACAAGACGAAACCACAACGCAAACGGAGAACATTGTTCACGCCGAGCCCTGCCGATACAGCCCTCCCCGCCCTCCCCGCCCTCCCCCTACGAGAGCTGGAGCCATCCCGGTGGCTTCGGCCGCCAGAAGGCCAGCGGCTCGGGCGCCGAGGCGAGGCCAGACGCCAGGGCCGTGCAGCAGACGAAGGAAGCGCTGCTCCCCCTGCTGCAGCAGCTGAAGGCCATCGGACTCTGATAGAGTGCCCCCCCAGACAATGAGTTTCGTTTCACCGATCCCCATCCCCACCCCGATCCCCACCATCCCACCACCCCACTTGGCGATACGCCCGTTGCTCCGGCATTGAGGCTTTCAGCGGACGTTGGTGCGTCTTCTTTTCTGTGTCCGCTCTCTCCTTCCTTTCCTGTCCTTTCTTCTTGCATTCGCCTTCATCGTGACATGAATTCGGGGATTTGTTCCTATCATCTGCGACGCCGCAGTGGCTTTGACCAGCTCTGTGTTGCGCGTTCTCTTTCTCTGTCTCTTTTTTTTCTATCTCTATCTCTATATATATATATATATATATTTCTGGATTTTATGGTGTGCGAGGCTTGATGATGTGAGTTGTTGTTTGGACCACATGGGGGGCACACACACACACACGCACACCCACACGCACACGCACACGCACGCGCGCACGCATACGCATTCGCACACGCACACGCACACACATGCACATGCACATGCACATGCACATGCACGCACGCACGCACACACACAGACACACACACACCGCCTTTGCCGCTCCCCCCATGCTCCTACGCGTCCTGCTCGCCTGTGGCGCTGATAGGTTCTTGGAGGTAATGCGTATCGCTCCATGTGCCGTTCCTGAAGCCCGCGGTGGACAGTGACAGTGCGACGAGTGAATATGCAGGGTGGTCGTCGCGCCTTCCTTTTTCGCCACCTCTTCCCTCTCTCCAGAAGATGCGCTGGCTAGAACAAAAGTTGGGGATATGCCCCTCGAGACCCGAAGGGAACAGCGTACATCCCTTATCTAGTGGGGTAAGTCGGCCAGTGGGGCGCCACGCCGTTGGGGATAGGGATCGGTTAAATTATGGTTAGACCATTCGACTGACGCACGCTGCACGGGTTCACTCGACATTGGCAGTCGAGTGTGCCAGTGCAGTCCCCAGTCGGTTTCGCTACTATCTGCTTCGCCAGACACGTTCGGTTGTTTTTGGAAATCGATTAGCTACCCCGGGGGGGTGGTCAGGGCTGGGGGTGGTCAGGGATGGCTCCGGATTATTCGTGCCTCCAGGGCCCATCCCAGAGTTGCCTCGGCTTGGAGTTATCCTGGATGATTCGGGCGTCCAACCACTCCCGAATCACTGGAGCTGGGGGTGATTAGGGGTAGCTCCTGGTTCGTGCGTCGGGGACTCAAAACTTGAGTTATCCCCGATAATTCGGGCGTCCAAGGCCAGGACGCTGCCGCAGCCTCTCCTGCGCCAGCTGGCAGACTTCGCGGAGCTGGCGGGGCAGCGCGAGTATTCTCAGGCTCAGGGGAGGAAGAGATTCCGATGCCGCTGCTCGTCCTGGAGAGCCCTCGTCGCCACGGCTGGATGTTCCTCGAAGTTCTGGTCACGACGCACCCCAGGAGATGTCCGGGGGGAGCAGCGGTGTCGGTATGCTTTTGTTCCCCCAGAAAGGCGAACGACGTCTACGTGGCCATCACGATCGGGAAGGCCCTCTGGCACACCCACCTCGACCTGGGCCAGCAGAGGGCCCACTGGGGCGGCGGCTCGTCGCTGCGCACGATGCAGAAGCAGATAGTCGAGAAGGCTCTCTCGTGCCCATCCCCTCCTCTCTCTCTTTATCGCGGTCCCTTCTCGGCTACACGTAAGAGTGACCTTTAGAGGCCTTCGGTGCGGGCACGCGCTGGGGCCCCCAGATGATCTTGAGCGCGGTGCGAAACCAGCATCTTGCGCGCCCAGGTGTGGCCTCCCCACGGCAACCGACAGTCGCGCACCAAAGGTCCCTCTTGCCTACGGTCACTCTTGCGCGTAGCCGATCTTTCTGCGATCCTGAGGGGGGGGGGAGCGCGCCCACGACCGCATCGCTCACAGCGGCCTCTTTTTGTCTGTTCTGTGCAGCAGGTGATCCGTGTGTCGCGGAGTGGCTTCCCAACACGTTGCGCGCAGCTGGACCACACGGCACACGCCAGCAGAAACGAACCTTCTTTGCTGAGGCTCCGTTCTTACGTTCGTCAACGCGTGCACGCTGCACGAATGTATATCCACACAGGTGGAGTCGCACGTGCGGAATGTTTGCGAGCACGTCTAGTAGTGTTTGAGTACTCACAGTATGTCTGAGACGTGTGTGCACCGATTGGTGCGCATATGTCCGTTCACGTGTTGCCAGGATGACGGCTAGGAGGAGGCCCAGGAGGTGGCAGCCGTCGTCCTCGCTCCTCCCCGCCCCTCCGCGTATCCCCTGTGCCGTCCCCCCCGCCCAGAGCTGTGTTCAGCTTACCGGCGCAAATCCGGGAAATATGACACTCCTTTTTCACCGCGTGCGCGTGGGATTGGAGAAGTGGGGTGCGGGGGAGGAGGTATCTCAGGCATCCCATGTCTTGGTGTTGTTCTTTGTGACGTCGCCAGAAGTCCCGGCGCGTTCCCCAGGTCCGGTTTTTCGTGCCGAGAAGGTTTTCGACGGTCCCTCGTGCTGGCGAGGGCCTTGAGAGGCCGAAAACGGACAAATACCTCCCCTCATGATTCTTCACGGCTCGAGCATGTCTGGAATCATTCCGCCCCCGCCCAGCAAGAAGGACCACAAGAACGCCACCGCATTCGACACGGATCCCGCCGTGCAGCGGTACGTGCACGCGCTGAAGCGGCTAGCGACCCACATCGGGGAGCAGCGGGTGTGTACACCTACCCCCCCTCCCTCGCCCCCCTCTCCCCCTGCTTTCTCCCCGCCCCCATCCCCCTTCTGCGTCTTCCTTGCTTGGCTTTCACTTCTACCTCCTCCTTTCCTCCTCCCCCCCTCCCTCCTTCCCCAATCCCTCCCTCTCCTTTCCCTTCCCTCCTTCCAGCCTGCCCCCTCCTTCGCCCAGTCCTGTCCTGCTGCTCTCGGCTCTCGCCCTGGCCCCTGGCTTCCAACGTACTCCAAGAGGTCCCAAGACCGCTCCAAGACGCAAGGCGGCCCCCAAGAGGCTGAAATCCCTGCAAAACCCGAGGAACATCAATGATGCTTGCCTCCTCACCCTCTCGCTTCTGATGGCCCTCCGAGGCCTCAAGATGGCCCCAGGGAGCCCCAAGATATGCCCAAGAGTGCTCCAATAAGTGCAGCTCCAAGAGCGCCCGCGAGCGACCCAAGAGCGCTCAAAGAGAGGTCCAAGAAGCGAACTTACGGGGCTCTAGAGGGGCGACCCTTCTTTGATCGATGTCCGCCGAGATGGCCCCGAGGCTCCCAAGAGGGCCTCAAGAAGGCCCTGAGAGGGGCCCCAAGAGATGCCCAAGAGAGCTCCCCCTCCTCCGCCGCGCCGTGATGTCTGGGGCCGCTCTTCAGGCGCGCCCCCCCCGCCCCCGCAGGCGGGGGTCGGTGTACCCCCCCCGAACTCCGTCCTTCTCCCGTCCCCCCGCCCCCCCTACTCCGCCCCCCCCCGTCACTCCGTCCCCCTGTCCTCGCCCCCTCCGTCCCCCCCCCTGTCCTCCCCCCACGTCCTCCCCCCGTCCCCCCCGTCCCTGTCCCCCCTCGTCCTCCGTCCTCCCCCGCCCCCATCCTCCCCCCCCCGTCCTCCTCCCTCCCGTCCTCCCCCCGTTCCCGCCGCCCCCGGAGCGGCGCAGAGCCCCTGGAGCGGAGGCCGCTCCCGCGCGGAGTAGGGGAGCGCCAGCCTCGCGCTCTGCGTAGCGGTGGGAGGGGGTGCGATCCATGGGGTGGGGCGAAGGAAAGGGGGCGATCAACGGGGGGCGACCAACGGGGGAGCGATCAATGGGGGGGGGGCAATCACTGGGGGCGATCAGCGGCAAAGGCGCTCCTTTTGTGCCCCCAAGGGGGCCCCGAAGGGCCCCCCATGTGGCCCAAAAGGAGCACGAGAGTTGCACGCTCCTCCCCCCCACATGCATTTATCGCCCCCCATTGCGCATCGCCCGACGCCGGGCCCACCCGAAACCATGACGCTGCAGGCCAGGATGTTTTGAGGATTCCGGCCGGAGAGGGCGAATCATGTTGGGTTCTTGTTCCTGGTTCTTTTGAAGACGCCGCCGCTCGGAACTCGTTTAGGCATGCCCAAGACAACCATACCAAAAACGACCGCTCTAAATTAATCTAGGCATGCTCAGCGGCATGCCAACGTGCACTTACGCGCGCCCAACGACCCCACACGCCCGCCTTACGCCTCACGCGCGCAGG